AGTGCCGTCAAGTCAATTCCGATCCATAGCGACCCTATATAGGATTTCCAAGGAGCGGCTGGTAAGCTTGAACAACCAACCATCCTTGCAGTTCAAATGACTTTGCAGTCTGACGCATTAGCCCACAGCGCCACAACATTAGGGGTGAGTTAATTAAATGTTTGGCCAAATATAACTGGTTAATTTTTAACTTGATAAATTTGTATGGCCCGTGAATGATGTTATAAATTTTAGCAGAAAAAAGGTTCTCCAGTCCTGCTGTATAGGTTTTTTGAGTCTATAAATCTTTGTGAAAGCAAAAACCCTCATCTTTCTCCCGAGAAGCAGCTGGTGGACTCAAACTGCTGACCTTGTGATTTAGAAAGCTGATGCTTATCCCACAGAGCCACAGAGATCCCCAAACCTAATGAGGCACGTGTGCAAAGAGACATGGGAGAGAACACCAGTCTTAAGGTAGATGCCAATAAGAAATGCCCTCTCCTGTCCTCTTCTAGAATAAGGCTAGAAGGTTTGGGTCAAGAATATCCTTGCTGTAACTCTAGAAAGCAGTACATCTCCTGTTCAAAGAGTCACTCGAAAGATGTGTTTCTTATTAAATATGGACCAAGTCAAAAAGGATTTCTTAATAGTGTAGAGGAGAAACATGGGGTTTAGAGATCTTAAATTTTGGCCTAAAAGAACCTTGGGAGTTTTTTCCTGGAAGGTCTATCTCATACTCTAAATTGTACTGTAGATAGAGTATAAGGTTTGGAGTCAGACAGACCTGGTTTCAACTCTGAACTTTGCTGCTTATTAGCAGTGGGACCTTGGGTGAGTTGACGTAACCTATCTGATACCCAATTTCCTGATGTACAAAATGATACCAGAATGCCTGCTTTGAAGGGCTGGCTGGTATGACTGAAAAAGGAAAGTGAAAGTAAGCCCAAGGAAAGTTCCTAGTGCCACCCTATAGGGGCTCATGGCTGTAAGTGTCGTTTCCCTTCCCCTTCTGTTCCCATGATGCCCTTCCTCCCATCTGATTTGTATGGACATACCAGGAACGCTGGACTGTCAACTGGAAGGTCGGTAGTTCAAAACTTACCAGTTGCTTCTGTGAACCCGGGTGAAGACCTGGTTGGCCAGCAGTGTGGCAAGACCTGGGGACTCTTGGGCCCAGAGTCAGTGACATAGCCACAGAGGACTAGAGTGGAAAGTGAAGCGTCCAGCTGATAAGAAGAGAGGGCATATGCACAAGAACACCCACACTTGCAGATAATACCCACTTATACTGGCTTCAGTGACTGGATGATCAGAGCCCAACCAGAAGTAAAAAGAAGAGGAAAAAAAAAAAAAAGTATTCTCATACAATTTGATGAACTTGACCTACACCTATGGAAGCAGTAGCTCAAAAGAGGGAACAAGTCCTTACAGCCAGAATCATTCCCACCCCCTCCACACACAGAGTAGACAGGGATGGGCAACTTGGACATTGGCTACCCAAAATGGTGGGCGGGAGGCTACAAAGGCAAGAAGTGTCCAGAGGGCCTGGAGGAAGGTAGAATCTCCAGTGAGTAGTATTCAATCTGACTAGGCGGAGCTGATGCAATGAAATGCAGATAGATCTCTTGTGATACAATAGTGAATAATTGTTATCAGGACTGATTGTGAGGGTTGGAAATATAATGGTAGACATTTTATAGCAAGGAGGGGAGTGATTGACTTTTCAGTCTAGGAGCGGAGGTCCCTGGGACCATCAAGGGAGAAGAGCAGAGAGCGGGACCCTACCCAGAGAAGCAGTGATGCCTGAAATGGAGCCAGAGATGATGACGTGGAGCGATGGAGCAGCTGGAGACTTTAGATACAGAGAGGGAGAGCCACTGTGTGCTGAAGACCTGGGGGGCACGGGGGAAGGATTGCATGGAGGGGATTGTAACCATGGCAATGAGACGATACAATGAATGTAAAACTAATGGTCTCCCATGTAAACTATCACATAATTCACAATAAAACATTTAAGAAAAAAAAACAAAAAACTTACCAGTAGCTCTTGGAAACCCTGTATAGGGTCACTATGATTTGGAACCCACTCCAAGGCACACAACAACAACAACCAGAAGCCAGGGAGATGGACAAATTCATTCCGAATTTATTTATTGACTACTTACTAGATAGAGTCCTGGTGTGGTACTGTCAGATAAGCACTGGGTTGCAAGGTCAGTTTGAACTGCAAAGTCAGAGGTTCAAATCCACAGCTGCTCCTCGGAAACCCTGTACAGGATTGCTATAAACACTGGACTGCTAACCAAAAGGTTGGTGGTTCAAACACCTATACAGGTTGGTGGTTGGGAACCCTATACAGGGTCACTATGAATCAGAACTGACTTGATGGCACTTAATAACAACAACATATGTTAAGCACTAGGGTGATGGTGTGGTGTTGTAGAAGTCCTAGTATGGAGTTGTAGGATAAGCACTGGACCGCAAGGTCAATTTGAACCACAAGGTGGTAGTTCAAACTCACCAGCTGCTCTTTGGAAACCCTGTACAGGGTTGCTTTGAGTCAGAAAAGACTCAATAGCATTCAACAACAACAACAAAAGGTGATGGTAGTGTAACAGCAGCCCCACAGGAAAAAGACCAGGTAATCTGTTTCCATAAAGATTACAGACAAGAAACTCCTATGGGGCAGTTCTGCTAAGTCACACGGAGTAGCTATGGGTCAGAATCAACCTGACAATGACAGAGATTTACACCAAATGGATCCCAACCCTCCCCTTATGGAGTTTTCTGTCTAGTGGAAAAGATGGGCAAACCAATACATAGACAAGCGAGCTGTTAATTACCAAGTGTGGTTTGAAAACCCTTCAGGGATGGGAGTTGGGGGACTTCTATATAGATAGATGGGCAAGGAAGACCTCTCTAGGAAGAGGGCAGCTGTGTAGGAATGTGGGAAAGCAGTCCAGGCAGAGGGAATCACCTGAGCCTGACACCAAGGCTGGAGAGAATTTGTTGTGGAGGAGCTGAAAGGAGGCCCGAAAGAGTGGCCTGAGATGCGGCTTAGATGAGTCAAGGTGAGGAGTTTGCCTATGGATTCTGTTTTAAGTGCAATTAGGGGCTGTTCAGCAAGCAAGTGACACAACTTAATTTTTATTTTTTAAAGGTGTCTTTGGCCCCTGATCCCAGGGAGTTCAGAATTTTCCTCCACTGATACTCCATCAGAGCCAAGTATGGGCATCCTAGCTCTGTCTCAGCACAGTCCTCCACTCCTCTCATGCAGGCCCACGCGGTGGGTAGAGTCTCAGGTTGAATCTTCATAAAAATGGGCTCTTGGAGGTGCCCATTGAAGTGGTGTGTGCCCAGGCGAGCACTAAGATTTAGTCCCATCTTCTCAAGCAGATGCTCCCTTCTCCTGTCTTCTAGCTTTCTGGGAGCCTTATTCTGGAGGAGAGGGACAGTGAGGCAGGAGAAAGTAGGAGTGCCCTTGTTGGAGCAGATGAGGTGAACATAAATAAGTCCAAACCATGAGCTAGAGGAGAACTGTTCTCATCTTCAATGAAATGTTTGGCTTGGTTTTAGAGCAAAGGAGGTTACTGCCAGGTGGAGACCAGAAATCGGCATCACACCCTGCTTATCTTAAGGGCTGTTTTGGGGCAGACACACTGCCCCGCAAGTCTTCCAGAATCCTTGAAATGTACAACAAAGAGGCTGTTCTGGCCCTCCTCTTAGAACCAACCAGGTGGGAGCTTGCATGCACCTTCTAGCATCAGTGTCTCACTGTACTGAGACCTACAAGTTGGGGAAGGGACCCAAAGATTCATTGCTTCTGTCTTGCCCGGTTATCTCAGTCTTCTTGGTCTGAAGAGCAAAGCTCAAGAGCATACTGGATACAGATTGACACTGAGCTGCCCAAGGGAGTAAATTTGGGGCTTCTGGCTCACCCAGGCCCCTGGGATTGAGATGCTAATGAAACAGCTCCTGAACTTAACCTTGGGGCCCCATTCATTGACGTCAGCAAAGTTAAAATGATGTAACCTGACTCTCCTCCTGGGGGTGGGGATGGAGGTGGGGTGGGGGGAGTGGCATTCCAGGACCTAGGGAGGGGAAGGAGTGGCCTAGAAGCTGACCAGTGCACAGAACTCAGGGTCAACACAGTTTAGCCCAGAATGGGACAAGGTGGCGTTCCTCTGGCACTGGGAGTTCCCAGAAGAACTCAGTAGTGGGGTATTTCTAGTGGGCGGGATGTGCTATCTGAGCCAGTGGCCTAAATCCTTTCTGAAAGCATTTATCCGGCACTACAGCCACCATCAGGTAAGACAACAGGCTTCTTCCAGACAGGAGAGTGGAAACTGACATTACCACTCCTGCATGCGGGATGACATACCATGGGGGGAATTGCTGTCGTGTGGGGATTCACACATGTATGTGTGAGCATGCCACTCAATCAGAGGACAAGGCTCAGCCTGGCCACATCTGGATGTGCAGAGATACTTCTGTGGCCATGTTAGGGTAGTCTGCATTGATCTGATGTTCTAGACCCCCTGGCATCTGGACTGCCCCTGTTCCTGACCCGACGAGATGCTGGGGTGGTCCCTGTAGATGGTTTCCCTGTGCCTGAGGCCTCTTAGTGGGACGCTGTTGTTGTTGTTAAGTGCTGTCGAGTCAGTTTTGACCCATAGCGACCCCGTATAGGGTTTCCAAGGAGTGGCTGATGAGCTTGAACTGCCGACCTTGTGGTTCAAACCAACCTTGCAGTCCAGCTCGTTGACCCACAGCACCACACTGTTGTTGTTGTTATGTGCCATGGAGTCGGTTCCGACTCATAGCAACCCTGTACAGGGTTTCTGAGGCTATACATTTTTATGGGAGTAAAAAGCCTCATCGTTCTCCTGCGGACCGGCTGGTAGTTTCGAACTGCTGACCTTGTGGTTCACAACCCAATTCATAACCACTATGCTACCAGAGCTCCTTCACAGCACCACATTAGGCCTGAGTAATTCTGTCTTTGGGTTTTGCAGGTGGATTTTCTGATAGAAAATGACGCCGAGAAGGACTATCTCTATGATGTGCTGCGGATGTACCACCAGTAAGTGTGTTGGCTCGGGCTCCCATGGACCACCCTGGCTAGCTCTGCATCCAGCGGGCCCTGTGAGGGGTGTTTCTGAGAGATCTCGCCCTCCCATCATCGGGCACTCAGGGAGACAGGAATCAAACTGTCAACGGTATTCACACATTTCAGAAAATACTCACAGCAAGCATCTTGTGCTTGGCTCTGTGCTGGGGGTCGAGGATACACTGTGAGCTAGACAGACTGGCTCCTGCTCTCAGGTGGCTCACAGTCTGATAAGGAGGCTGTTAAGTAGCCAGATAGCGTCCAGGCTGAAATAGAACAAGAAATGTCCTGTGTCAGATGTCTCTCATCACCCACTGGCTCTCATACATCCCACATTTATTTATGAGCCCCTACCACTTGCTGGGCACCATGTGGAATCCTGAAATGAGTAAGATCCAGTCTTTTCCTCGAATCATTTGCATCCTACTGGGGAGAGGGGAACAGACCCTCACCAACACACACACACAAAAAATAACTCTAATATAATATACAATGAAATAACCAAGTAGGGCAAAAGCAGCATCCTGTATGGTTGTGAAGAAAGGATTTTTCACTTCTAACTGTGGGGCAAAGATCCAGGAAGGCTTGAGCTATGTTTTAAAGGATAAGAAGGATTTCAAAAAAGAAAACTTAAAACCCTATAATAGCCCTTGGCCCCAAATAAGAAAATCTAGATTGGTTAATGAAAAGTAAAAAATAATTTCCTACTTTGGGTCCTATTGCTTTCTCTCCTGCTCTTTCAGTCCTGTTGTTATTGTTAGCTGCCATCCAGCCAGTTCTGATTCGTGGTGACCCCAAGCACAACAGAATGCAACATTGTCGGGTCCTTCACCATCCTCACCATCATTCCTAGGCTTAAGTCCATTGTTGCCACCATGTGTCAACCCATCACACTGAAGGTCTTCCTCTTTTTTGCTGACCCTGTACTTTACTAAGCATGATGTCCTTCTCCAGAGAAGGCCAAAGACACAGTCTCGCCGTCGTAACTTCTAAGGAGCATTCTGGCTGCATTTCTTTAAATACAGATTTGTATGTTCTTTTGGCAGTCCATGGAATATTGAACACTCTCCACTAACACCATCATTCAAAGGCATCAATTCTTCTTGAGTCTTCCTTACTTACTGTCCACCTGAGTTTGCATATGAGACAACTCAAAATACCATGACTTGGGCCAAACGCACCTTAGTCCTCACCAATACCTTTGCTCTTTAACTCTTTAAAGAAGTCTTTTGCAGCAGATTTGCCCAATGCAATATGGTGTTTGATTTCTTGACTGCTGCTTCCATTGATTGTGAATTTAGCTACATTGAAATTCTTGACAACTTCAACTGTCTCCATTTATTGTGATGTTGCTTATTGGTCCAGTTGTGCAGATTTTTACTTTTTTTATGTGTTAAGATACAATCCATACCGAAGGCTGCGATCTTTGATTTTCATCAGTAAATGTTTTAAGTCCTCTTTGCTTTCAGCAAGGAAAATTGTTTTATCTGCATCTCACAAGTTTTTAATGACTCTCGCTTCAATCCTGATGTCACATTCTTCTTCATATAATCTAGTTTCTCAGATTATTTGCTCAGCATACAGAGAGAAAAAAAAATATGGAGAAAGGATACAACCCTGACACACACCTTTCCTGATTTGAAACCATGCAGTATCTCCTAGTGTATTTGAACAACTGCCTCTTGGTCTATGTACAGGTTCTGCATGAGCACAATTCTTTGTTCTGGAATTCCCATTCTTTGTAATGTTATCCATAGTTTATGATCCACATAGTCAAATGCCTATGCATAGTCAATGAAACATTTCTTGTTGTTGTGAAGTGCTTTTGAGTCTTTTCCGACCTATAACGACCCTGTATAGGATTTCTGAGGAATGGCTGGTGAGCTTGAACCACCAACCTTGAAGTTCAAACGGCTTTGCCGTCTGGCACATTAATAATCCTTTTTTCTGATATTCTCTCCTTTCAGCCATGATCCAGCTGATATCAAGCAATATCCCTTGCTCCACATCTTCTAAATTCAAATCTGTGGCAGTTACCTGTTGATGTACTGCTGCAACCATCTTTAAATTATCTTTAGGTTTCAGTCCTACTCCTACTTTATTATCAGTAACTTTTCCCTTTATTCCTGATAAGAAGGATTTTAATATCAGGGAAGGGCAGTCCAGGATGAGGGATCAGCATCGAGGCATAAAAGCATGGAAGTACAAACTGTGACTGGAGAACAAAAACAAAAATATTCCAGGGACTAGAACCCAGGTACATAAAGACCATAAATAGCCACAAAGCTGGAGAGGTCGTGGAGACAGGTCTTAGAGAGCACTGAGCCTGCCAAAAAGAATGGACTTTGTCCCGTGGGCGCTAAGGCACCATCAGACAATTTGAGAATTCTTCCTTGTAGAGAAGATTGAATGCCAGTCAGCAGACAGCTGGAGCAGTGTAGGCCTTTGAGGCTAAGGTCTGAACAGGGTGCAGGAGGAGACCTGTGGGATTTGCAGAACTCAGATGCATATCAGAAGTGGAGCTGAGGGTGTGAAAGGCATCACTAACATTTCACACAGAGGGTTTCCTGTTTGGGAAGATCTTGGGCTTTTCAGAAGTAGGCAGAGCTGACCTTGAATGCTGACTCAATTTCATCTGCAAAATAGAAGAGTGATCCCCACCTCACTAACTTTCTCATGAGACCACATGAAAGAATCAAGTGATTTCTGAGCACTGATCCAGTTAAGGACTCAGTAAGAGTGAGTTCCCTTTTCAGGTGAATTCTCAAGGGATGCATAGGGTTTCCTAGGCCTGAGGCCTGTGGATGGGTCCAAGGTCAAGGCTGCTCCCTCTGGAAATCTGTGGCTCTCAAGGGTCATGCCAGAGGTGAGGCTCCAGGGGTTCCTGGTGTCTCCACAGAACCATGGACGTGGCTGTGCTGGTGGGAGACCTGAAGCTGGTCATCAATGAACCTAGCCGTCTGCCACTGTTTGATGCCATCCGGCCCCTGATCCCATTGAAGCACCAGGTGGAGTATGACCAGCTGACTCCCCGGCGTTCCAGGTGCGGAGGGGGCAGTTGGGCTTGAGGTGGGCATGGGAGAGGTCACCCTGGGATAGGAGGTACCTCAGTAGTGGATGCGGCAGGGCTGGCCATTACCACCCTCTCCTTCATGGCAGGAAACTGAAGGAGGTGCGTCTGGACCGTCTGCACCCTGAAGGCCTTGGCCTCAGTGTGCGTGGTGGCCTCGAGTTTGGCTGTGGTCTCTTCATCTCCCATCTTATCAAAGGTGGCCAGGCAGATAGCATTGGGCTTCAGGTAAGTGAGCAGACCTAGTGTGGGGAGCAGTTCTCAGGCTTCCTGCCTCTCTTCCCAACTCAGCAGCCAGACCAAGTAGCACCTGGTCACCCCACTTCTCTGAGCCTCTGGGAAAAAAAGATGTTGGTCCATCCTGACAAGTTTGCACAGACTCACAGGCACTTGTCTGTTTTCTTGAGTCAGTCTGGGAACCCAGCTGTGGCCTCAACCACAGCTGCTACTGCACTACACCGTGTGCTCCCCACTTCTCAAAGGGAGAGCTGTGATGTCCTGCCACCTGAAGCTTTGTCCAGAAGGAGAAATGTGCACCATGTAGTGTTGTACTTCAAGAGTGTAGACTTGGAACCAAAGTGCTTCAGTGTAGATCTTGGCTTTAGCTCATTCACCATGTGATTGGTGAAATTACTTAGCCCCTGTGCCTCAATTTCCTCATCTGTAAGATGGTTGTTGTTAGTTTCTGTGACTTCGTCTTGATCTCATGATGATCTTAGGGAGCACAGAATGAAATGTTATCTGATCCTGCACTATCGTCCTATGCCATCCTGTGCAAACCTGTCAGCATGTACCAGCCTCATTTTGACCAAAAGCTCAGAGAAGTGGGGTGACCAGGTGCTAACTGGTTTGAGACGATATCATTGTCCAGTGCCTTCCAACCCAGGGGGTTCATCTCTGGAACTATATTAGACAATAATTTCCAGTAGATTACCAGGCATTTATTCCTGGTCTGTCTGGAAGCTCTACTGAAAGCTATTTACCATGGTGACTCTGCTGGAACTTGAAATACCAATGGCATAATTTCTAGCATCACAGCAACATGAAAGCCACCGCAGTACTACCAACTGTCAGATGAGTGGTGCCATCTACAACATAGAAATGATGCTAATACTTGCCTTATCAGGTTGTTATAAGGAATAAATAAATTAATATTATTAAATGTTTTTAACAGTACCTGGCACATGAGTGGTGTGTGCTCATTAAGTAAACGAAGAGATGGAGCTATGATGCCTATAATGTGCCAGGTAGCATGCTCACAAGTAGTTCTCACTATACACAGAGAATGTGTCATCTCCATTTGATAGAGTTGTTAATAGAAGCTTCAGAGAGTTGGCTCTAGGCATATAGCCACAGAAGTGGCAGAGTCAGGATTTGAACTCGAATCTCCTGACTGCCAAGCCCAAGGCTCTCTTTTTAGCACTCTTAGGGACTGCGCACCTCGATGTCTAAACAGAGATGGGCAGCTCTCCAGGCCTCACTCCGCCCAGAGCCCAGAGCTGGGCTTTTGTACATCCAGATAAAGGAGGCCCTCCCACCCTGAGCTTCCAGAGCAGAGTGCCTGTTATCAACATCCTAATCTGGGCTGCCAAGCCAGGGGCTTCAGGGGGCTCCTGGGCTAATGTGCAAGATACCACGGAGTGGGGAGTGGAAGCCGGGAGCTGACAGACATGGCTTTGTTCTAAATCCCTGTCTCACGGCTCACTGGTGGCGTCTGAAATTTCAGCCCCTTCAATATTTCCCTCTACCGTGGCACATTTTCCAGCCCAGAAATGCAGCCAGAGAAGACACATAATGGGTCCCTCTCTTGGCATCAGCCGAGGCCCTCTTTTTTCCAGAGCAAGCTGTCCTCCCAGGACAAGCATTTCTCAGCAGTGTATAGTGATGAGAGCATGAGGATGTTTTATTGGTACTTAGTTACCCTTGCCTGTTTCTCAGGCTTATGCGTTATCGACCCTTTCACGGGCTGATGGGCTCGTCTCTCCTTTCGGCTGCTGTCCCTCAGATCCTCACGTCACCGTGGCCCTTCCACAAAGGGCTCTTTTTCAGGGCTCCACTCAGGAGAGGAGAGAGAGAGAGAAAGGAAAGTAGATCTTGCAACTTGAGCCAGGAACTGTGTGGGAATCATTCCAACTAGGATCCTGGGCAAATTCCCATTAGGAACAAGATGGGGAACTTCACAAAGGGGAGCTGGGAGGAGAAGGCCTATATCCATTGACCTATCAGAAGTTCTTATTTCTGGGAAGATCTCATGCCTGAAGTCAGCTGGGAGAAGATTCTAGAAAGCAGAAGAGGGGTAGGTTCAGACACAGTCTGCCTGGGCTGAAAGCCCTGTGCTGATTTGACTTGTGGGACTGGGCTCTGGATGGGGGGCTTGGACCCTCCAATAGGACCCAGCTCTGAGACTCTGTCCTCTGCTAGAAATGTTGTAGATGCTTTTCATTTGCTTGGTGTCTTAACTCTTTCCATCCCTCTTCCCTGAACAGGGATACACTGTGTGCTGCGTAGTTTAGTGTCTTCAAGACTTGGTTGTCCCATCTGCAAAATGGACAGAGTAATCCCTGACTTTCCTGTGGGATTCAAGGGCTCTAATAGGTGGCAAGTATCCAGGGAGGACAGTATGTAAGGAGCTGCAGCCAGGCTTGGCCACGTGCCCTTCTGTTTCACTCCAGATACCTGAGAGACAATGTGAGGCCTGACTTCAAATCCCAGAAGCACTGCTTACTGGCCTTCAGCAAGCCACGTCTGATTGGTAGGGACAGGGATCCCCGCCCTGCAGGGCTGTTGTGGAAAGTAGATGGAAAAAGCAAGTAGTAACTAGAGCGCTTCCGCTGTTCTCCCTACATTACATGTCTCCAGAAACTAAGTGGTCTTTAGTAAAGCCCTTCCTCTTATGCCTTTTGAACCCCTCACAGTCCTGTCTGGTCCCTGAGAAGATTGGGGTCTGTGTCCAAAAGAGATTCCAATGGAAATGCTGAGACGGTGGCTCTGAGAGAGTGTTAGAGAAAACGGGAGTTGGCCCAAAGAGCCCCTCAGAGGCAGTGTGCCTACCCCCCACCCCTACCCAGGCCTTGTGAGAATCAAGTTGCATCCTCTACATGTATCTTGCCGTCAGGTCTCCAAAGGGTCAGCACATATGACCTGCATTGGCCCCAGATTGAAGAGGAACATCCAGGTTTTGCCACGTGGCCTTGTATTACCGTTCTGGACCTCAATTTCAGATGATCTCTGAGGGTCCTTTCAGCCCTGCTGTTACCACCTAAGGAGATTCAGGATTCCTCCCCAGGGCCAGGTGCTTGTTTTTGTTAAATGCCAACTCATAGCGGCACTGTATGTGGTTTCCAAAGCTATAAATCTCTGCAGGAGCAGATGGTCTCATCTTTCTCCCATAGAGAAACTGGTGGGGTCAAACTCTGACCTTGCAGTTTGATGTCCAGTGTTTATCATACAGAACAATCATGCTTCTTGTGGTTGTTATGAAATGCCGTCAAGCTGGTTCCAACCCATAGTGACCCTGTATAGGGTTTCCGAGGAGGAGCTGGTGAGCTTGAACTGCCGACCTTGCAGTTCAAACAGCTTTGCAGTCTGGCACATTAACCCACAGTGCCACACCAGGAGTGAAAAACAGTACCCAGTAGGAGACAATCTCACCATGGACTGTATCCAGGGCTAACCCCAAGGGCTCTGATCTGATGGGCCAAGGGGCCCATCTCTCCTAATCTGCTGTGGCTTTAACCTTGAGAAGAGGGATCTGAACAGAGTTTTTAGAACTCAGGCCTAACTAAGAGTAATAAAATATCATTGTTATAAGTGCCACCAAGTCGATTCTGACTCATAACCACCCTGTATAGCATTTCTGAGGAATGGCTGGTGGGTTTGAACCACCTACCTTGCAGTTAGCAGTCAGTCCAGTGCTTATCCTACAGCATCACACCAGGACCTTAAGGGTAATAATTGTAGTTGTTGTTAAGTTGTTAACCCTATACGATCCTGTATAGGGTTTCTGAGGAGCAGCTGGGGTGTTTGAACTGTAGACCTTGTAGTCCAGTGCTTTACCCTGTTGAGCACTTACTGCGGCCAGGCACTGGCTGGCTGTACATGCACAAGCTTATTTTTAATTCTCACACCAGCCACATGAATATCCCATTTTACATGCATGGAAACCCAAGGCGCAAAATGCTCAAGAGACTTGTCCAAGATCACATAGCTTATAAGAATATAAGCAGAAATTCAAATCCAGGGCATCCGATGCCCTTGCTCTGTGCTCATTCTCTGCTCGTGGCTTACTCCCAAAGTAGAAATTCAGAGTTCAGGACCATGACAGAGTTCAAATATTCACCCGGTTTCCATAGAATGGAAAAGGAGATTGATTGTGTGTGGTCTCGGGCCAGCAGCCATGGATGTTCACCACCCCTACTCTGTCCAATGTTATTATGATTAACAGACTGGGGAGTTTGTTTCTTGGAGACAAGGCAGGACAAGGGCCAGGGAAGAACAGATTGAGGGTGGGTGAAGGGTCATCTTAGTGTGGAATTCAGAACTTGGTGGTGCCCCAGTAGGGCTAGAGGGACATCAAAATGAGGTGCAGAGTCCCGAGCTCTGCTCCCCACATGCTGCACCCCACTCCCTCCTTTGTTTCCCTATCTGTAAAATGGGGCAGAAAGACTTCTTGAAAGAACCACCTGCCCTGGACTTCTCAGTCTGTTGGGGTAGGTTGGTTGTGATGAGGCACTAGGGCATGGCCCAAGTCTTTCTCTGGGGAAGGAATGGTCACTGTCCCCTTTCTGGATGGAGCACCTGGCAGTGGACCTGTCCTAATGCTCGCTCACCTGGAACTCATGCCCTCTGTCTGTGGTCAAGGTTGGGGACGAGATTGTCCGCATCAATGGCTATTCTATATCTTCCTGTACCCACGAGGAGGTCATCAACCTCATCCGCACCAAGAAGACGGTGTCCATCAAAGTGAGACGTGAGTAAGGAGGTCACGGGGGCAGGGTGGAGTGAGGAGCAAGGATGCCCAGCTCCTGGGGAGGAAGAGAGGGCAGAGGAGATATCCTAATCCCCAGGCCTTTCTCCCACAGACATCGGCCTGATCCCAGTGAAGAGGTGAGCAGAACTCAGCCTCACCAGCATCCTGGAGTCAGCCCTGAGGACCCACACCCAGACTCTAGGCCAGCCTTGCTCAGGGCCTAATGTCACCACATGTGACTGATCTAGATTTGGGCCTGGTCCCTCAAACATCTCTACCTAACATCCCTGCTTCCTTTCTATTTTCCCTCCCATCAGCTCTCCCGATGAGACCCTCAAATGGCAGTATGTGGACCAGTTTGTGTCAGAATCTGGGGTAAGGGTCCAGACCACCAGCAATGGGTCTTGGTGGGGTAGTCTTCAAGGAGGGGCAGCCAGTCCTGAAAGAAGGACTTGCTCTGGGCACACCTAGAAGGCTGCTGTGGGACTCTGGGCCCTCAGCCAGGCCCCAGGAAAAGCAGCAATCTAACCTGTGCAGGTACAGCTGGGCATGCCCTGAAAGCCTCTCAAACCCAGGAAGCTACTCGTGTGCATGTGAACTCTCAGTAACCCTACTTCTGTCCCTCCTCCAGGGTGGGCAGGGCACCCTGGGCTCCTCCAGGACTTGGGAAAACAAGGAGAAGAAGGTCTTCATCAGCCTGGTGGGCTCCCGGGGCCTTGGCTGCAGGTGGGTAGCAAGCACAGTCGGGTTCACTCATGTCAGGACAGTATACCTCTGACCCTCTGACACCTCTCCCCATTCTTTGCTGCCCTGCCTGCAGAGACACTGCCCACTGGTGATGGCATGTCATGGTACCTGAATTCCCCTCTGCGTCCCAGCAGTCGTGAAAGGACCAACCAGGCTCATTTTAAAGAGGAGGAAACAGATCCACGGTCAGGGCCATGTCCCTTTGGTGGGGCCTTGAATATAAGAGGCTATTCAGATGGTCAGCTCTGTCATAGTTCCCTTGTCACTTAATACTTTGTGGGCTCCCTTGAAAGGGACACCTGGGAAACCCCAAACAAGCATCAAACCACAGGATGTTCATGTTAAGTCCGCAAGTACTATAGTCGCTCTGTTCTAGGTCCCAGCCCCACTCAGCCACTTACAAGCTCCAGAACCTTGGACTAGTTAGTTACCATGCTGAGCCTCAGTTTATCCCTGTATAAATTAGGGATGACAATACCCACATCACAGGGTTACTGTGAGAAACAATGAGATGATAAAATCTTATGACTGGTAGGTAATAACATGTTGGTAAATATTATTATTTCAGTTACATGTTCTTACAATTTGCTCATTCACGTTCATTGGTTACGTTTGTGCCTAGCATAAGTAGTAAAAAGTTCCTTCTTTCTAGGCAATTACAGTCTCATAAAGAAACCAATCACATGGATATTTAGAGTAGAGGGTGACACGGACTCTACTGAAGCTATATTCTGGGTCAGAAATAGCAAATAGGTTTCCTGCCCTGTGCTATCTCTAATCAATTCATAGTGTCTGCCTGGGGTACCATTCTGGTAAGAGAGTGCTCTGATGGATTAGTGATGTCTGCCAGAAATTTGGGTGGGGAGAGTAGCAAGTTCTCCATCCTTCCTGTAGATGTTTTAGGAGCACTGAGAAGGGAGCAACTAAGTTAGTCTTGGGATGGAATAGGGGGCTTGGTGAAAGCATTGTCGAGAAGATACATTTGAGTCTTAAAGGATAAATTTCCTAGGAGATTGCTAGGAAAAAGAGAAGAAACAGTATCTGTGAGTACTAAGATGTTCTTATTTGTTGTTATGTGCCGTGGAATCTGTTCCAACTCATAGTGACCCTGTACAGGGTTTCTGAGGCTGTAAATCTTTACAGGAACAAAAATTGCAAGTCGTTGGCTGTGGCTGTTGCTCAGGCTGGAGAGGCAGCTAGCGCAGGGCCTTGGGTACTAAGCTCAGAGGTTGGCCAGTATCCTGCGGGACAGGAGCACTGGACATCATACAGGTCCTCTTAGCCCATTGAGAATCAGCAGATGCTGTGGTGGATGAGAGGCCAGGGGCAGAGTCTCACCCACATTGCCCATCTCTTCCTCAGCATTTCCAGTGGCCCCATCCAGAAACCCGGCATCTTCATCAGCCACGTGAAGCCTGGCTCCCTGTCTGCCGAGGTCGGGTTGGAGGTGAGTTCCCAGTGGGGCCCCCACAGAGTGGATATCAGGCTGTGATAACACAGTGATGGAGATGCAGGTGTTTCTCCACCGCCTTCTCTCAGCACTCCTGACGGATGATTCCTCCCTACCGCCAAGGAAGGCTTCGTGTGTGTGTGTGTGTGTGTGTGTGTGTGTGTGTGTGTGTGTGTGTGACATTTGATCACTTTTGCCAGACCTGAGTTCTTGTCCTGAGCTTGGAATGCAGTAATAAGAATCAAGGAATTGACATTCAGTGGATGGTTACTGAGACTAGACCTTATCTTAAGTCCTTAAAGTTTCTGTGACTTCTGAGAAGCAGATACTATTATGATCCTTATTATACAGATGGGGAAACAGTGACTCAGAGAGATTATGTGATTTTTTCCAAGATCATGTACTTAGTAGGGTAGGTCTGGGATTCAAAAGTAGATGGTTGAGCAACTTGGACATTATTGGCTACCCAAAATGGGGGGGCTACAAAGGCAAGAAGTGACTGGCTTACAAGCTTTCCAGAGGGAACAGAGGAAGGTAGCATCTCCACTGAGTAGTTACAATCAGTCTGGGCAGGGCTAATGAAAGGAGATGGGGATAGATCCCTTGTGGTACAATGGTGAATAATTGTTATCAGGACTTACTGCCATCGTTTGAAATGTAAAGGTGGACGTTTTGTAGCAAGGAGGGGAGTGATTGACTTCGCAGTCTAGGAGCGGAGGTCCCTGGGACCATCAAGGGAGAAGAGCAGAGAGTGGGACCCTACCCAGAGAAGCAGTGATGCCAGAGATGGAGGCAGAGACGATGATGTGGAGCTATAGAATGGCTGGAGACTCTAGACCCAGAGAGGGAGAAGGGCTGTGTGCTGATAACCTTTGGTTGGCTAATGATGCATGGAGGGGATTGTAACCATGGCAATGAAATGATATATATGATAGGATGAATGTAAAGCTAATGTTCTCCCATGTAAACTATAACATAATTCACAATAAAACGTTAAAAAAAATTAGATGATCGAATACTAGAGCCAGAACTTTTAATTTCACTGGGAAATTTATTTCATAGCTCTGTTTGGTTTCTTAAACTGCAAAATGGGATGTTGTTGTATGGATTAAATGAATTAGTACATATGTTTAGAACTGTGCCTGGCATATAGTAAGCGATCAGAAAATGTTAGCTATCATCACTATTATTATTACACCCACTTCTCACTTATCAACATGGTTAGGTCCCAGAGACCAGGGCATTATGTGAAAATGAAGGATGATTACTCCTCATTACGTGACTGCCAAACCACTGGGAATTATGGCCCAGCTGAGCTAACACATAGCTTTAACCATTACTGTCACCTTGCTCCTCACTGTTCGTTATTACCAGAGGTACATCAATGATGTGCAAGATAATTGGATAGTAGATGCTTTACTATTATCGTTAATGCGAAATGTCAGATGGGACAGTCAATAACTGAGGAGAAAATGTATTCAACGCTGCCTCTGCTACATGAGAAGCCACAAAGCTTCTTCTATACCTACAAACTGATCTTTAAAGCACATGTTACAAATTCAGCCCAAAAAAATAAATCTCTAATCGTATAATATTAGCAGCTAATGAGAGAGGTGTGGAATTGAGGAATGCCAGGGTGAGCTTGGGGCCCAAGAGGAAGAGAAGAGACACAGCCACTTGAAGGGCAACTGCATGGGGCAGCCCTTCCTGCAGCTGAATGAGTATATGGGGAGGTCAAACACGCTGACCCTTCTCCATTTCCCCACCAGACAGGGGACCAGATTGTCGAAGTCAACGGCATTGACTTCTCCAGCCTGGATCATAAGGAGGTGAGCTGGCCCTACTCTCACCCTTCAGCACCCTGGGCTTGGAGACCTTCTGTGCTCTCTGCTTAGACCATTACGGTCTCTCAGGGCTCAGCTGACAAACTTCCTGTTTCCACAGGCCGTGAATGTACTGAAGAGTAGCCGCAGCCTGACCATCTCCATCGTAGCTGGAGCTGTAAGTCTGGAAGGAGCTAGTGGGGACTACATGACCCCCAACCTCCAGCTCCTGAGACTCAGGTCTCTGCCCCTCACTCTTGGGAAGAGCCAAGGGATCTGCTTCCCTGTAGCCCTGACAGCCCCAGGAGCCCCTGACACTGAGTGCATGGTGCTGAAAGATGGCTCATGCCGTGGCCCTCAGGCAGTGGCAGTGGACGCCCAGGTTCCCCAGGGGACTGATCCAAGGGCCTTTGTTTCTCCCCGACTAGGGCCGGGAGTTGTTCCTGACCGACCGGGAGCGGCTAGCGGAGGTGCGGCAGCAGGAGCTGCATCGGCAGGAACTTCTGATGCAGAAGAAGCTGGCGATGGAGTCCAACAAGATCCTCCAGGAGCAGCAGCAGATGGAGCGGCAGTGAGTGGGCCTGCCCACCCTCCCAGACTAACTCCACACTGCTGCCCCACCTTACCCCTGCATCCTGGGCCTGCTTCATTTCCTCCCCTGAGGCCTGTCTTGAAACTAGATAGGTTCATTGGCAGATCAGCATATCCATTCCATTCCCTTGATTCCAGATCACCTGGCTCCTTTCCTCTTCTTGACCAAGAAGTGTCTCTAATTTTAAAACAAAGCAAAACAAAAAACCCACAGTTGCCATTATGCCAATTCCAACTCAGGGGGACCCCATGAGCATCAGCTAGGATTTTCAATGCTTGACTCTTTGGAAGTGAATCACTACGTTTTTCTTCAAAGACACTTTTGCATGTACTCGAACTGCCAACCTTTTTGTTAGCAGCCAATGCATTAGTCATTTGCACCAACCACTCCAGGACTCTGAGAATTGGGGAAGTGTGGTGCTGCAAGATAATGCACTAGACTGCAAGGTTGGCGGTTCAAACCCACCAGCCACTCCTCAGAAATCCTATGCAGGATCGCTATGAGTTGGAACCCACTCAACGGCACTTAACAACAACAAGCTAGCAGTAGGTAACATTTGTTGAATACCGACCACATGGCTGGCATTGATCAAAGTCTTGTTTATGTTACTTAACCACACAATAGCCCTGGGAGATAGATAGTAATAACCCCACTTTGCTGTTAAGAAGTCTCAGATTCAGCGGAGACCAACTCACACATACCTGAGCTGGGGTTCATACCCAGGCAGTCTGGCTATAGAGTTTGGAACTCCTCATAGGGCTGACAACCTAAGGTGATAAGATCCACCCCATAGGAAGGGTGAAAAATGGACTGGGAGGAGAAACAAGGCAAACAGTTTATAATTCCAAAACTGCTGTCAAAATCCAAACCCAAGATACATTCTAGAATAAGTACTTGGAGGAAGAAGGAAAGGATCTTTCTATCTCCTCCTCACAAAATTGCCTGGAGAATGGCCCCTGAGGCCCCACTGTCCACAGTCCTGGTCTTGATTAACAGCCCTGCCTGGGTCTGGGGCCCTCTCCCGGGAGGATCCTCACTACTAACAGTCACTTTGTATAAAAACTTGCAGATGGCATGTGTAGAGTGTGGCCCACAGGTGGACCTGCCTCCTGGTTCCTCCAGGACAGAAACTGCTCAGCAATGTCAGATTAAATCACACAGGAGCCTGGGGTCTGGACTGTATTGGGAAGTTTCCCCAGCATCCAAGTCAGGTCCAGGTATTCCTAGAAGGGAGCCTGAAAGAAATATTTAAAACTGTTATCAACTCAGGAATAGCCACGGGGAGGAAGGAGTCCAGTTCTCTGGCAGAGACTGAAACATGTCAATCTGCATTTGTGTTTCAGAAGGAAAAAGGAAATGGCACACAAGGCAGCAGAGGAAAACGAGAGATACCGGAAGGAGATGGAAGAGTAAGTGTCCTCAGCTCCAGTGCTAGCCTACGGAGCCCACCAGGACTCCAGCCATTTCCTAAGGCCAGTAAAGTCCACCAGTTTAGGGTTGATAGGACCTGTTGTTGTTAATTGCCCTGGCATAGACTCTGACTCCTGACAACTTTATGAACAGCAGAATGAAACATTGTTCCAGCCTCTGCCATCCTCGTTACCATGGAACCAGATCTAGCCTAGTGTTGTTTCAGTGCTGTGGGGAAACGGGAGTTTAATTCACTGCTATCTTCCCATGTGGCTTCTCCCAAGCCTGTTGAAAATCCCAAAGGGGCAGAAAAAGAAAATCCCAAATGGCCTACAAAAGCTCTGGCTTTAGTCACAGATGGGGCGGTCTTGTTTCAGGATTGTGGAGGATGAAGAGAACTTTAGGAAGCAATGGGAAGAAGACTGGGGCTCAAAGGAACAGCTGCTCTTACCCAAAACCATCACTGCTGAGGTGCACCCGATACCCCTTCGGAAGCCAAAGTGTATGTACCTTGTGCTGGGTGGGGGTGGAGTTTTCCTCTGGGGCCATGAGAGGGTAGTGAGGTCTCAACAGAGAGTCTGACCTCCCTTCACCCCCATCACCTCCTCAGGTGGATAGTCCCTGACTCCCCAGGCCACATTTCCTTCATGGGATGCCAGCTGTGTGTCAGGGCCTCCTGGAGGTCTGCTCCACACACCCAGCTGCCAGTCTCTTCCCTCCAACACAGATTGTAGGCAGGCAGACTTCCCTCTCCCCGACTCAGTGGCCATGGGCTGAAAACCAGACAAAGACATTGCTAGGAAGGAAAGTTATAAATCAGTTTATCTCATGTGCATAGATGAAGAAATCCTCAAGAAAATATTAGCAAATATATAAAAAGTATTATGCATCATGACCACATGGGATTTATTCCAGGTATGCATGACTGGTTCAACATTCAAAAATAAGTTAATATGACTTGTGACATCAACAGGCTAATGAAGAAAAATCATGTGATTATATAAATGGTGGTGGTGGTTATGTGCCATGGAGTCGGTTCCGACTCATAGTGACCCTGTACAGGGTTTCTGAGGCTGTAAATCTTTATGGGAGCAGAACGCCTCATCTTTCTCCCGCGAAACAGCTAGTAGTTTCGAACTGCTGACCTTGCGGTTTGCAGCCCGATTCGTAACCACTACGCTACCAGAGCTCCTTGATTATATCAATAGATACAGAAAAAGCATTGGACAAAATCCAGTACCTACTCAGGACAAAAATTCTTAGCAAACTAGAAATGAAAGGGAACATCCTCAATTTAGTAAAAAACCTACAGCTACGTCATACTTAATCACAAGAGATTGGGTGCTTTTTCCCCAAGACTTGGACCAAGACAAGGATGTTCCCTCTCACCCCTCCTATTCAATACTGTACTGGAAATTCAAGTAAATGCAGTAAGATAAGAGAAGGAAGTGAAAGGAAAACAGATTGGAAAGAAAGAGAGAAGGGAGACTTGTGGCAAAAGTAGAACCGACTCACAGAATTACAATCTTAGTCTGTTGGGTAATGTGTTCTCTTCCTGCCTTGTTCTGAATTGGGGTTGGGGTTCTTATTAGAGCAAGACTGTTGGTCCAAGGCTGATGGATGACTAGGAGAAGCCTACCTAGAGTGCCTCTACCACCTGCATTCTTGTTCACAGACCTTTTTCATGCCACTTCAAGGGCAGAGATGGAGTGGACTATAGGACCCCTGTTATCAACCACAGTCTGGAGGCTGCACCATAATCCTGGGGTCTCAGCTCCCTTTGCCCTTGCCATACCCTCTTTGCATTTGTCTTATGTCACAACCTCCAGTTTCAGCTGAAGCCACCACCAGCTACTCCTGTCTACCTGCTCTCAACTTCAGCTTCCAGGATGTCTCTTCAAGGGAGTGTTCAACAACCAGTATAGGTGGTGGTGGTGGTTATGTGCCGTGGAGTCGGTTCTGACTCATAGCAACCCTGTATAGGGTTTCTGAGGCTTTAAATCTTTACTGGAGCAAAAAGCCTCATCTTTCTCCCATGGGACAGCTGGTAGTTTCAAACTGCTGACCTTGAGGTAAGCAGCCTGACTCATAACCACTATGCTACCAGAATTCCTTTCAGTCTAGGTATTAGTGATGAAAGTTGAGATCAAGGCAGTCTGAGGGCTCCCAGTTGGGCCTTTACCCTACAATAAGGTGTTTTGATTTATAATTGACACGAGGCAGGCTCTATGCCAGCTGATTTTGCTCAGATGACCTCGGAACTTCTGCTATGTGGTAGCCATTTGGGATCCTGTGTTGGAATCTGGACGAGCCCTAAAGGGGAGTCAGTTTGCCACCACAGGCCAAATGGAACAAGGAAGAGGTACAGGACACCTGGCTAGTTCCAATTCACCACTCGCTGTGTGGGGTAAATAGCTCCCAACACATTCCTGCTCAGTCGTGGGGCACAGTGTCATCTCATGGTCCTCTTGGAAGGTCAATGTGTGCTCTTATTCACCTCCCCAGTGACATTCAGGGTTAATTGAGGATGTGGCCAGAGATAAATTCCTGATGAATAATCTGTGTTTTAGACAGGCAGCTAATTTGCTCTCCTGAGTGAAATAGGAGCTTCAGAAGGAGAGAAATCGATTTTAATTGCTGCTTGTGAAAGTAATCCTAGTCAATTTAGTACCTTCCTAGAAACTGGGTCTCACTCAGCTTTGTTACAAACACAACACACCCTCTCAGGAACTATGGAAAATAAAACCCTTTCATTAGCTAGCTATTCATTTAGTGTCTTTTAACCATATCAATCTTTTTGTATAAAAGGCCCAAGCACTTTTTTCCCTTTGCTCCAATGTTTTCTAAAACAGCCCCCAGAAGGTACAAAATTGATGACCAGAGTCAGCTGGCCTGCGCTGGGGCAGCTGCCCAGCCATCCATCTCCATATATACTGACAAGTTCATTCCAATTTGGAGATAAGTCAGGAATGTGCAGTAAGCTCTGAGCCAGCGCAATTCCTGCTTCTCTCCTCATTCCCAAGAGTCTAGAATGGTCTTGACTCAATATATTGAGTCCATCCTCCCCAACCACCCTGCAACCCTGAGGCCTGGTGAGCTGACAGGTTGTACCTGGCTCAGATTTCTGTGCCTGTGAGGGGTGGCTCTTGCATTTCTGAACATACAGGAAAAAGTGTGAAGCATCTACTGCCTAGAAAATGAGGTTGCTCCTCCTAAAGGCACCAGTAGGGCTGACAGTTTCCTCCACCACCACCTGCTCTGAGAGTCTCATACTTGCTTCTGCCCACTTACCTGTGGCTAGCAGGAGCTCTAACATTCTACAGAGCCCTCAAGGAAACCCTATCACAAAGCTCCTCAAAAACTTTCCTGAGCTAAGGCAACAGGGATGGTGGGGGATCTTTAATAAGGACCCCGGAACTAGACGGGACCTTCTAGCCTTTTCTTCCCACTGGACTCCATAAATTATCCCATCTCCCATCATGAACTCCATGAAGTTGAGGTTTTTCCTACTAAACTATTAAATCATCATTTGCTTTCTCATAGTTTTATTAAGTAGTCCTTGTTAGCAAGAGAGCATAACTGTTCCATTATTAAGTAAATGTAATTTGAACCAAAAGCAAAGGAAGTTAACATACAGCCTTCATAGCTCAATGGACAAGTTCTTCTAAGCTTTTAAATATTAAAAAAACAATTCACAGGCAGACTTGTACACTACCTCCAGGAACCCAGATCAGAAGCTACTAGATGGAATGGTTTGCTACTCTGTCCATCTTCTGTCAGAATTCATGCCTTCCTAACCTATGTACCACCTACCTCTTTGGGATCTCCCTACCTTTTCAGGATCCCCAAATCTCCACCTGCTGCCCACACAGCTCAGACATCCAGAGGGACCTAAATCTCCAAGACAAGGGTGCTAAGAAGAGGTCAGGAGGATCCACTCTCTATACAAGTCCTTGGTTTCATCCATCAAATACTCATATTGTCCCCTCCTTAACCATGTCTTCCAACTTTCAACTCACTGCCCAGCAAAATGGTTCTCGTGCCATTATTAATTCAACTGACAGAGAAACTGAGCCCACCAAAATTCAAAGCACTGCATGGACCACCCCAGGTTAAAAAACCTTCTTTCCAGGTTCCTAAGTTCTTCCTGCCTAGGCCACAGGTCCCAGGTTCCTGGGAAGCTCCTCTGGCCTGTCAGACTCCTGACTCTCCCTCTTGGCTCACCAGCTTCCTCCTCTTTTCCTGGGTAGATGATCTGGGAGTGGAGCCCGAGCTCAAGCCCACAGACGACCCAGATGGAGGCACAAAGAAGCAGGGAGAGCAGGTTTGCAGCCCCCGCTTTGCTCACTAGCCTTGCTGCTCTGCTTCCCCTGCCCGGCTCCTCCTAACAGCAATGCAGATGCCCAGCTGTGGGCCAGCATATGGTGGGAACCCCTGGAGTCTGTAAAGCTCCTTTGAGCCCTAACTTGAGGCTAGGACTAATGACCAGGCTGATAAATCAACCCATGCTCACCAATAAGACTGAACCTCTGGCTCAGTTATTTCAATACTGCCTAAGCCCCTTCTTCACTGCTCTGGCCTTGCTCTTGAACTCCCACAACTAATGAAGAATGCCTTCAAAATCCTGCTCTAACCTCAGGCTGGACAAGGGTAGGTAATTGAGCCATCACCCTTAGCCCCAGGGAGGTTTGAGTTTGGGGTATTATCCCCTCATGGCTGAGGGAAGGAAGAGGGCTTGCACCTTAATGATCTGATCTGGGGGAGATACTCTTTTCAGGGAACAGATCCTCTGCCCACTCTTTCCCAGAGCTGTCCCCAGCCCTTGCCTTCTCTTTCAATGTTGAAAATGGAGTACCTTGGTTTGCTCTATGAGACAAGACAGTTTTGTTCTATCTGACAGCAGGTCTAGGCAAAGACCCAGGCTTTCTGGTGTCTCGAGTTATTTCTTGGACTGTGGGGCCTGATACCAGCTAGGAGAGGTCTCGTTGTCTTTCAACCTGGGCTTTGTGTTTGGAGACTGTGGCCGTGATTCCGAAAAGCTCTTCCTTCCACAAGGGGCTTTCTCTATGATTTTTTGGCACTGACTTCTGAAGCCCGAGTTCTGGGTAGAGGCAGTTGAGAGTGGCCCAGGACCTGGGAATTGGGCCCTTTCTCAGGTGGTCTTAGGAACTTCTTGGCAACCCAGGTAAGTAGAGAATCAGACAGAGTGTGAAGTTTTGCAGTTTGATCTGTGATTCATCTCACAAAGCCACATATTCCTTGGGAACCTGACTTCTGGCTGCTGCCCATGGATGTTTTGGCTGAGTTGGACCTGTGTGTTTCATCACTTTGTTCTTTGTGTTCTTATAGCCTTTGGGTGGTTTTATCGTTACGATGGCAAATTCCCGACCATCCGGAAGGTAGGACGGGTTTGAGTGCTGTGCTGGCTTGCTGCTGAGCTTGCTGTGGCATTGACCTTTTTCAAATATCGTATATGCAGACTGAAATGTCAGGAGGTGCGTGTACACAGTACAAATTACGGAGACTTCTGATGCCAGATGCAGACCGTTGCCGAGGCAAAAGATTTGCCAGCCACGGCTCTGTCTTAGAAATAGATCTCAGTGTGCCCTGGCCAGTTTCTGCAATCTTTCATTCTCTCTCTAAATTTTATTACAGTATCTCTAGGCCCCATAAAACCCTCTAGCCTTTGTCTTTCTAATTTATTTTGGCATTTGATTATGAAAATGCTGCAGTTAATCTATGGATTGGACATCTGAGACAGGCATCAGCATAAATCTGGCCGACTTAATTGAGGTGCATCACTTCATGGACTCTTTCTGGCAAATTGTCAGCCCCCCAGAAACCACAGTCTTGAGTATATTAACTTGGTGGTATGTAACTTCTCTCTGCTTGTTTAACGGGAATGTTTAAAGTGCTTCAGAAAATGTTAGGTGCCGTCAAGTCAGTTCCGACTCGGAACGACTACCCAGTCCTGAGCCATCCTTAGAATTGTTTTGTTTGAGCCCATTGCTGCTGCCACTGTGCCAACCCATCTTGTTGGGGGTCTTCTTCTTTTTTGATGACCCTCCACTTTACCAAGCATGATGTCCTTCTCCAGGGACTGATCCTTCATGACATTTTTTTTTTTAATTTTTCAAACTATCAAGATTTTATTTAACAAAAGCAATAAATGAGACATTTCTAAATCTTATAATAGTGGACTTAATATAAAAGTAAAGAATTCTCCAAAATCTGTACTAAAAATACAAACTCTATGGACCAGAGGTACAGAGAATTTTTATTTTAAATTTCAGTCACCCAAAACAGCAGCTTATGGTCTCCTCCAATTGCACCCAGTGGGAGAGTTCTATGCCAGGAAAGACCAGATCCAACAGCTACAGAGCCAATGAGGATGTGCTGAGGGTGCCCGAAGTGGTGAATTTGAAAGTGGCTTGCCATTTTTCTGGGATAGCCAGTTGTTGCAAACAAGCTTTCACTAATTCTGGACCACCTGAATAAGTAAGCGCTATCTAAATGGAAAAGTCTCTTCTCTTGAGGATAACTGGACTGAGTTATATCCCAAATTATCCAGTCATTCCCGGCAACAGCTCCAACTTTAAACATGTTTTTCAAGCACCAATGTGCTGATATCAGTGGTATCTGTTCCGATTCAAGAGACAAAATAGCCTGTTGGGCAATAATATCATAGAATCGGATTGCTCCATTCCTCTCTGCAACCATCAGCTTGTAAGTTTCTTCAGGATGCCAGCACACACTCATTCCAGGGGAACGGAGAGCAAAATGAGCTGCTTGAACTTTCAAAGTCCCAAATCCTGCAGGTATGATCATCGCTCACACTTGCAATTTCTTGGCCTTCTTTGGGATCAAACACCAAACCATTAATAAAATCTGAATGGCCGTCTAAAATCTTGTATTCATTCTTATCCTGAAGATCTGAAGTAAACAATCTGATTCTCATATCTGCTGCTGAAGTACAAAATCTGATGATTGGAGGCAATGTATCGAGTCGAGTCTCTGGGCTCCAGGCAATGCCATCCACCCGGACTCCATGGTGAAACTTTTGGAGAGTTTTGTACTCAATTCATTCTGTTTCTGCTGCTTCCTCCTGAAATGTACACGTGCCAATGACCACATAATTATTGCCACCACCATATGCAATTAGGTTTCCTGAATCTCCACTCTCAAAGGGATTAAATTCTGCCACATGAACATAATCTTCACAATCCACAGTGTAGGCAGCATTTCTAGTAGTATCTTGCTTCATCTTGTATGTCAAAACTTGAGCAGTGCAAAAGCAAAATAGCCTTCCATTTTGGTCATGGAACTGTGGGGGCAGAGTGGAAGCATTGGGCCACAGGCCATAAAGCAGCACAGCCCCTTGAACACCCTGAGCTATATGCACCGGAGGGCAATGGGTCGCAGGCCCCTTCATGCCATCTTGTCCAAAGTATGAGAAATGAAGTCTTGCCATTCTCACTTCTAAGAAGCATCTGAATTGTACTTCCAAGACAAATAACAGACACCAATACTATTCCTGACAGTATTCAGAACACAGATTGGGATTTGCAGGCCACTGAGTAAAATAGAACAAGGCACCTCAGAGGATTCCTTCCCACACTGTCATGGTCTCAGAAAACACTTGGTCTCCTAGGACAGTCCTTTACACTATACAGCCTGACTGAGTGGCTGCTGGTTCACTAGTAGAAGTCACCTTCCTTGAGGGAGACCTGGGTTCCATTCCCAGCCAATGCACCTCACATACCTTGTGTGCAGCCACCAGCTGCCTCACTGGAGGCCTGTGTGTTGCCACGATGCTGAGCAGGATTCAGCAGAGCTTCCAGACTAAGATGAGAAAGAAAGACCTGGTGATCAACTTCAGGAAATCAGCCACTGAAACTCCTCTGGATCACCATAGGCTGATCTGAACGCAATGGTGGGGATGGCCCAAACAGGACAGAATTTGTTTCTATTGTGTTCTGTGGGTCGACATGAGTGGGGGGCTGGTCCAACATTAGATGACAACAACACGTGGCTAAGAGTGTCTCTTTGGAATAGATTTTTAATTTTTCTCTATCTCTACTGGAATTCATCTAGAAGATAAAATGCACATACAGAGTTGTTCGTGAAACTTTTTTTTTAAAGACAACGACAAGTAAACTTTTCCAGGCACTAATGACTATGTCTGGCGCTGTAGGATAAGCACTGAACTGCAAAGTTGGTTTGAACTGCAAGGTCAGTGGTTCAAGCTCATCAGCCGCTCTTTGAAACCCTATGTGGAGTCTCCAGGAGTCAGAACTGACTCAATGTTGCTTAACAACAACAAATGGTTATGTAAATGTCAAAGGACTAGACTCTGCTTCCTCATCCCTCACTCATTAGAAATCACTTGAAAATTATTGGTGACGAGGTAGGACTGGTTCCCCCCTATTCATTATTTCAGTCATTACAGAAACAGCTGGCATTTTGGTTTTCATTTTAATTTCCAAAAGAGAGAAAAATTGCTTTTGGTGAAAACAAGAGAATAACCACCCCATCTGCCTCTCTGCTCTGTCTGGACTAAAAGAAGTAATTGTCATGAATTTAACTGACAACTCAAAGTACAATAGACTCATGTCCTTCCGATGGCTCTGAAAATCCATCTCTATTTTCTCAGGATTCATGATAGCCAGAATGGACCTGATGTTTTGTCTCCCAGCAGCAGGAACACCCTGTCCCGGGGTAATGCAAGTGGCTTCCCTGGCCAGGAACATCAACGTGCTAAATCCCCCTTATTTGGAAAGAGAAACATGAATGTCTTCAGTTCCTACATTGGCAGTAATTCTGCCTGGGGCTCAAAGCCCACATACCTAGGGCCCCACGGAGTCTCTGCCAGGACCTGAAGGATCCTGGTGCTTACTGAGACCTTTTATCAAGACAATTTAAGGAAATCACACAGAAGCCCAGTCTGATGGAGGAGGCAGATTTACACAGCTAACTTGATTGGAAGGCTAGTCTGAGATGTCCAAGCCTCTTCAGCTGTGGATGAAAGTGGGTGTCCACTGCTAGGAAGGCCCCTTTCTCATTCCTGACCTTGGCTGCTGAGAAAGCTCAGGACAGCTAAGAGCCATCCAGGGGATGGACTTGAACATGGAGTGAACACATGGACTCCTTCTTCACCCAGAAATTCTTAGTGTTGACTCATTCTCCTGAATGCTAACTACCCTCCATGTTGTTTGTGATGGGGGCTGTCCCCCACTCCTACCATGCTCCCCAGTGCCCCCAGCTCACCAGCTCATCAGGATGCAGCAGATAAAGTGCAGGGCCTGACAGGCTCAGGTCTAAAGC